ACTTCTGAGCTCCTCTGACTTCCATCAGCTCTCCTCTCCCACCTCATAATAGCCCCTCTCTTGCCCCGTTCAGGATGACCGAGCTCTTAGCAGTCTTTTGCACTCCCTCATTTCCTCCCTAAATTACATATAGTTTACATATGTTTTATGTATATTTTCTATAACATTATCAAGGCTCTTTACTAGGCTCTTCCATTCTATGATTTAATTTAGCACTCACAGCAAGCCTGCGAATTATTATTATTAGCTCCATTTTGCAGATGAGGAGATTGAGAATCTGAGATTAGTAATCATTTTGAGATCTGCTGCAACCCAAATTCTACAGTGGGTTCTAAAGATATAAAAGTGAATAAACTGCCCTGGCCTGTTTGGCTCAGCGGTTAGAGTGTCGGCCTGCGGTCCAGAGAGACCCGGGTTCGGTTCCCACTAAGGGCATGTACCTCGGTTGCACTTTGTCCCCGGCCCTGGTTGGGTCGTGTGGGTGGCAGCCACTCAATGTGTCCCTTTCACGTCGATGTTTCTCTCTCTCTCGCCCTCCCACTCTATCTGAACAAAATATGGAAAAGTGTCCTCGGGTGAGGATAAAAAAAAAAGTGAATAAACCTAGTTGCCATCCATCTCTGTTCACATGAAACTGGACAACAAACGAGTCTGGGTCACCTGTCACTACTTGAGCCAGTTAAGCAGAGACAAGGTCAAATTGTATATGAGTGTTTATTTCAATATCACTGGCAGTATGGGAGAGCAGCTAGATTATCCTGCAAAAATCTGCTCTACACCTCACCCCTGCTACCAGCCGTTTTTAAAGGGTTGCAAGACAAAGACTAGGCAGGTAGGTTTTTTACTAGGTGAGAAAAGGCAGGTAGGCAAAAAGAAAAAAAAAAGAGGGTAAAGTGGTCACGGGCAGTTGTAATCCCAGGGAAAGAATGTAGGCTGGGGGACTGCGAAGGTTTCGGGTGGAGGGGGGGAATGTGGGCTGGAGACTGTACATGGTGGTGCCTCCAGGTTCCAGATACTTCAATAACCAGGTTGTTAGTCTTCCCGTGACGTTGAGCAGTTTTCCCTTGTTCTGGGATTACGAGAAGGGACAGCATTCCTGAGGCAAACTGGCGGGGCATTCCGCTCCCAGCCAGGTCGGAATGTGCTCCCTTCCATCAGAACAAAGCAATCATAACGAACAGAGCCAGGATGACAGCGTTTCTGTTTCTTACAGCAATGGTTAGTGCGTCACTGTGAGTAGTTCTCTAGTACTCCAGTGTCCCCTCCTGCCCCTTTCGCATGGACCCTGTGAGGACAGCTGCTGCGACTCTCGGGACAAGGGACTGCAGGGTTTGGGGGTAAACCGCATGGGGGGTCAGCTGATAATGATTGGAGATGCTATTTCTTCTGGCATTTGGGAATTTTGATAGGGCGTATTTAAGACACAACGGTTCTCTGTAACATGGCATTTCAGGTACTTGGCGGAGTTAGTGATTCATCGGGAGGGGGCACTTCCTTTCAGGGGGGAGGCGCCGGTCGGTCAGACCCGCTCCAAGTGCTGCTGTAGGCGGGCCTTAGCGGGGCTCCCACGGAAACTGCGCTGGAGACGAGGATTGTGTGCAGGCCGCTTGCTGTTGGATGTGGTCTCAGGGGCGAGGGAGAGTTAAACAAGGAGGGACAGAAAGCCAATCCAAGGATGGGTGGGTTCTTGAGCTGGTTACCTTAACGGGCAATTTAGGATCAATCCCTCGGAGGTCCTTGGACATATTATGAAGAATGAATCACAAAGGATGCAGAAGTGGGGAACATTTCCCCACGGGCTCCCGGGGGCGTTCAAGCCTTCACACTTCCAGGTGTGCACGTGCACCAGGACGTCTGGGTGGATTCCCACACACATTCCACGTGGGTGACAGAGACACCTATGGCAGCACGCAGGGCGCACGTGGTGCTGCTGAGGAACCGTGTTGTTTGGCACTAACGGTGCAGCCAGCTGCCGCAGCAATGGTGGAGCCCGAGGTGGACTGAACAACAGGAAATGAGGCAGGATGATGTCCAACACGCAGAGCTTGGTAGTGGGACCTGACCTCAGGGCCTCATGAAATAGTTCAGAGGGTAGAGGACACCCAGCGGTAAGGCACGGCCCACGTTTTGTGAGTTGTAATGTGCTAAACAGTTTAGAAAGGCCTCTCGCTCCATTTATCTGTTCCTTGTTCTGAAAGTCCGTCCCTTGTCCTCTACCTTATTGCTGTGCTTTGAGTTAATTTGTCTGAATTACAAGATAAAACATGGTGCCTGGAGGGGCTGTGGCTTCGTCATTGACACCCAGTAGTTCCTTAGACTAATCGGTCTTCCTTATCACATCTGATGGTGTCATTCCCCCGTGGAAAATGCTCTATGGACTCCCGCTGCATACACATTGCCCATCGTGACGTCAAGTGGCTCCCCAGTGTGACCCTGGGGTGCTGTTCCAGGCCTGATGTCCAATTTTGTCTTTTACTTGTACCCCCATTTCTTCCAAACTAAAGGCCAGGTGGGCTTCTACTGAGTCATTTGGAAAACTCTTCAACTGAAGAGGTTAAACCATGTTTTATTCTAGTCTCTGTCACCAACCAGCCCTGTGGTTGGGTCTCAGTTTTCCTGTCTGGAAGATAAAGGGTACAAGAGTTATTCCAATGAATCCCAACCCTGGCTAAATATCCAGGTCACCAGGGGAGATCTAGAAGAGAAAACAGGTTATAAAGTCCTGCCCCTGGAGATTCTGACTTATTATGTCTGGATAGGAGTGGCAGAATACGTGCTTATTTATTTATTTATTCATTTAAAATTTTTTTCTTTATTGATTTTAGAGAAAGAGGAAAGGAGGAGGAGAAAGAGATAGAAACATCAATGAGAAAGAACACTGATTAGCTGCCCCCTGCATGCTCCCCATTGGGGATTTGGCCCATAGCCTGGGCATGTGCCGTAACCGGGAATCGAACTGGTGACCTCTTGGTGCATGGGCTGACACTCAGCACTGAGCCACACTGGCCAGGCCAGACTATGTGTTTTAATGAGCATATACATACTTACCTAATTCCATATATGGTCAGATTTGTAAACCACAGAGTCAGATGATTTTTAATATAACATCCAATCTAAGTCCCCAAAGTGTGATTTAGCTGTCACTGAGCTCCAGCAAGACTCTGAAAGACTGCGATACAGGGATACATTCTGTCGGGGGCAGGGGGTTCGAAAAAGATCAAAGCAAGTAAAAGGAAACAAATGCTGGTGGGTCCAGTGGGGTGAAGGACATCAAGCTACAAGGCCACCGGGCCACTCTGAGAGCACTGGAGCCCGGAGGAGAGCTGGGAGGATACAGGACAGGCCATCAAGGAGAATTCCAACAACTGAGCAGCTGGAAGAAAAGCTGTTCGTGGCTAATGCGGACTGTTCTTCACCGTCAAGCTCAGATTCCAAGCGACGACAGAGACGATCTGTTTCTCCCTGGACTGAAATGTAAGTGGTATGTTGAATGCCCTCCTTGAACCGGCATGGCATTTTAGTTTTACCTTTTCTAGATCTTACACAGTTTTTTGCATATTTAGGTACATGTGTTCTATAATCTTTTCCAAGAGGATGTCAGAGCCTTGAAGGCAGGGCTGTATACATTTATTTCTCACAGGGAGGTATTCGATGCAGTCGTTAAGAACACCGGATTTGGCATTAGAGTCACTTTCGTAATTTAACACCTGTTACACATTGCATCTCTAAAAGGGCAGTGATAAAACCCAGTTCACAGGATTGGGGGAGAATTAAAATGGTGTTGGTCCTGGCACGCTGGGGTCAGTAGCTAAGTGTTAGGACAGGAACTATTGGGTAGACATAAAGAGTATGCAATAAATGATAATTTATTTATTTATTTTTACTTTTTTTTTCTTTATTGATTTTAGAGAGAGAAGGAAGGGAGAGGGAGAGAGAGATAGAAACATCAATGAGAGAGAACATCGATCGGCCGCCTCCCATATGCCCCTCACTGGGGATCGGGCCCACAACCTGGACATGTGCCCTGACCGGGAATTGAACTGGCGACCTCTTGGTGCAGGGTTAATGCTCAACCACTGAGCCACACTAGCCGGGCGACACATTATTATTTGTGCACAATGCTTTGCATTTTACTGAGCAGATGTTAACGGAACAAATAATGTTGTTAAAACCCCATTCAAATATTATCAAGGGTATAAGCAGAAGTTTCTCCTTTTAAAAGTTAATTTCTAGGGGCTGTGATCCCAGGGGAACCTCTGGCTTTCTACTTCTAATCATGTCCCTAGATCTCTAAACCCAGAATAAAACCGCTTAGTCTCCCATCACCAGCTGGCACTGATCACAGGCAAGAAAGCGGTCTCCCTTCTGCAGGGTGGGAACAAGCCCCGGGCAAAGCCTCAAACAGCAATCACCTCTTCACCTCTTCAGCTCGGAAAGAATCCTGAGCAGGCAGCCCAAGCTCTGATCCCCCAAACAGGACAGACTCAAGGGATCTGTTCTTAGTTCGCTCGTCTGGGCTAGCACTCTGACCAGCTAGTTATCTGTCTGAACAGTTGAGGATAAGAGTTGGACCAAAAGGCACACGGCTGAAGCTTCGGGCTGAAGGAAGGTGAGTGGCTGGATCTGGGATGTGCTTTTCCCGTCATCCGTCTCAGGTAGCACAGGCTTGAAGAAGACTGTCTCGCTTGAACACTCCAAGCACAGTGGGCTGGCTCTGACCTCTGTGAGGACTTTCCTCAGAGACTGACCACAGCTTTGGTAAACTTGAGCAGCAACCAGAGTTGGAAGGACCAAAGTAGAGATCTGGGAGACTCCTCAGGGCATCCTCGGGACCCTTCCTCTCAGCAGCAGCTGTTCTCACTGCAGAAGCAGGTGGTCCTCCAGAGGCCACCTCTAGGGGTTGTGAGAACAGACCTGCAGGCATCCGGAAAGCTCTCCTGCAGAGTCCAATACCTGTCTGCACGGACCTATTCTCAAGAACGGAGAGGTGACTGGGAGGACAGCAGTGTCCCTGTCTCTCCGTCTAAGTGGCTCTTCTCCTTTGTTCCCACAGAATGCCCTAAATGAAAATGGTAGCCGAGAATTCCTCTGTGACGGAGTTTATCCTCACAGGCTTAACCAACCAACCGGGACTCCAGATCCCCCTCTTCTTCTTGTTCCTGGGTTTCTACGTGGTCACCGTGGTGGGGAACCTGGGCTTGATCACACTGATCGGGCTGAACTCTCACCTGCACATTCCCATGTACTTTTTCCTCTTCAACTTGTCCTTCATCGATTTCTGCTATTCCACCGTGATCACTCCCAAAATGCTGATGAGTTTTGTCTCAAAGAAGAACGTCATCACCTACACAGGGTGTATGACTCAGCTCTTCTTCTTTCTCTTTTTTGTTGTCTCTGAGTCCTTCATCCTGTCAGCGATGGCATATGACCGCTATGTCGCCATCTGTAGCCCACTGGTGTACAGGGTCACCATGTCCCCCCGGGTCTGCTTACTTCTTTTGTTGGGTGTCTATGTGATGGGGTTTGCTGGGGCCATGGCCCACACCATGTGCATGGTCAGACTGACCTTCTGTGCCAACAATCTGGTTGATCACTACATGTGTGACATCCTTCCCCTTCTTGAGCTTTCTTGCACCAGCACCCACGTGAATGTGCTGGTAGTGTTTGTTGTTGTGGGCATGGACATTGGTGTGCCCACAGTTACCATCTTTGTTTCTTATGCTCTCATCCTCTCCAGCATCCTCCATATTCGTTCCACTGAGGGCAGGTTCAAAGCCTTCAGCACCTGCAGCTCCCACATAATTACAGTTTCTCTTTTCTTTGGGTCAGGGGCATTCATGTACCTCAAGCCATCATCTCTTTTACCTATGAACCAGGAAAAAGTGTCTTCCTTGTTCTATACCACCGTGGTGCCGATGCTCAACCCATTAATCTACAGCCTGAGGAATAAGGATGTCAAAGTTGCTCTGAAGAAAACCCTGAGCAAAAAAAAATTCACTCTCCTGAGAAAGGGGCAATAGGGACTTCAGGAAAAGGAAGTTTTCCTTTCGTACATGATTCAGGTTTCACTGGTTATATAGAGGAAGTTTTAACTCTTTCTCCAACAAGTTTATCCTTCCCATTTTAAGTGTCCTTTAATTTTTAAACATTCCCAAAACTATAGGATACATTTCATAGACCTTAAGAATCATTTACTTCTTTCATGTTTCTAAGAATAGATACAGGCTTAGATTTCTTGCCTAAGAGCACTCGGTTAGTTACCCAACAGCAGGACTGAGACTGGAAGCCAGGCTCTTGATTTCTAACACTGCGCGCTCTCCATTGTGGTACACTCTCTCTCCCTCAGCCCTGGAAGATTTCGTTTCAAATGTGAGCTGCTCCAGGACGTTAACATCTAGTTCTGGCTACAGAAATTTCATGCAGCTATCCAAGGGATAATTTAAAATATCACATTTCTGCAAGAAAGTAGGAAGTATAAGATGTTGTTGAGATGGTCTTGGCTAAATGACCAGACAAATTCTGGAAGAATTTTGCAGAGTGTGTGGGGGAAGTGTTCCAGGACCCGCAGAGTGTCAAGCATGGCACCTCCTGAGACTGTTGTATGAGGCTTCGAGCACTGGGACTTTAAGAGACTTAGCTGGGAGGAAGACCTCATAGAACATGCCGTGGTTATGAAGGACAGGATTTGGGAATGACTTCCACACAATCATTTCTTTGTTCAATTTCAAACTGTGCTTATCAAGTGAGGGTGAAGAAAGCTGAGGCTCAGGGAGGGCAGCTGAGGATCTGGAGACTATTTCAGAAGGCTTGTGACACAAGCCAGTAACCACGTTAGCACTACGTAGCAGGTGGTCAGCAGTGGAAACGACCACTGACTTACAGCACTGTCTGGGTGGGAGACCATCTGCAGTATTCTCTGTGTAGCTCTCCAGGTCTACTCTCCGCCCTTATCCAAGTGCATTCCCTAATGGGTCCTGTCTGTAAGCTCTCTTGCCCTCTGGTTTCTGGCTGGGATAGGCCAACACAGCAAACAGTATCAGCAGAGGAAGTCAGAGGGTGGTGCTGTGTAACCTTGTGATATTCATTCCCTGCGTGCCTTCCAGCAAGGCTACACTGTCGGTCACCAAGGGTCCCATTCCTTCCTGGGCACAGTGACTGCTCCTCATTGTCTCTTCATGCCAAAGGGTGGCAATGTCTCTCTGCTTGGCTGGCCTGGGAGCTTCACTATCCCTTTGTCTTTTCTCTCAACCAACCTTTTGCCTACACCCTTGCTGACAGTTCCTTCATTGTATTTTTCAATTCCTTTGCTTCAGCGAATCATCTGTTTTCAACCGTGACTGATACATTTTCCAGTCATGGGCCGAAGAGTTATACAGCCCAGGTTTGGAAACACACCGCCTAATGGCGCTATGTAGAGGCAGGTAGAGATGCCTTTTGGTTTAAAAGAAAAATGTTAAGAGTAAATATTTTTGTGAGGCCACGATCTATGAAATGCTGTGAAAATACTTTTGACTTACAAGATTCTCTTTAGGAAAATTCTCGTCTGTTTGGAACAGTGGAGTTTGGGCGGATATGCAGTTTGGCCTTTGGGATGGAACAGATCAGTAGAAATGAATTCAGAAGAATGGGAATGAATGAGAGAACTGTGCTGTAGACTCGCGGACCGATGGACAGCACGGAACGCGGGCAACCAGGGCAGCAGATGCCTCAGAGAGCCCAGACAGGGAACTGGAGGTGGAATCTCATTTGAACTCTTAGCTCTCACTATGCAGCTACGCGACCTTCACCGACATACCTGTCATCTCGAGGCATCAATGCCTTTATCTTTAACATTTTTTGAAGAATTATTAAGTAAATTGTCTTTCTGTCCCTGCTAGATCCTCTGTCTTCTAGTATCAGCATTTCCACGAATTTATTGTATGAACTTGGGACAATTATTTTATCTTTCTGTGCTCATGCCTGATTCTATAAAAAATGATTATGCTCAATCAAATTATGTGTGTGTGTGTGTGTGTGTGTGTGTGTGTGTGGCAACTAATCCATGTGTCTCTCTCACATCAATGCTTCTCCCCCCCACACACACACTCTATCTAAAAATTAATGGAAAAATATCCTCGGGTGAGGATTAACCCCAAAAAAAGATAAGAAAAATATGTTTTTAAAATCCATCATTCTGCCACCTAGAGATAGCTACTTTCAGGGTCTTTGTATATTTTATTTCAGGATATTTTTCTGTGTATAGTCATGACAACAGCTTAGACAGGTTTGCAAAAGCTATATGTATATATATAAAAGACACATATACCACACAGACATGTGATCAAGTTAAGTACGATTTTATAACTTTATTATTTATTTATTTATTTATTTATTTATTTTTATCCTCACCAGAGGACATTTTTCCAATTTTTGTTCAGGTAGAGTGGGAGGGAGAGAGAGGAACAGAGAGAGAGAGAGAAACATCGATGTGAAAGGGACACATCGAGTGGCTGCCACCCGCACAACTGACCAGGGCCAGGGACAAACCGCAACCGAGGTACATGCCCTTAGCGGGAACTGAACCCGAGTCTCTCAGGACCTCAGGCCAACGCTCTAACCGCTGAGCCAAACCGGCCAGGGCTATTTTTCATTTTGTAACATACTGTAAATAGCTTTCCCTGTGATTAAGTATATATGAAAATCATGATTTTTTTTTTTTTTTTGTCCTCACCCAAGGACATTTTTCCATTTTTTGTTCAGATAGAGTGGGAGGGAGAGAGAGGAAGAAAGAGAGAGAGAGAAAAACATCAATGTGAAAGGGACACATCGAGTGGCTGCCACCCACACAACCCAACCAGGGCCGGGGACAAACTGCAACCAAGGTACGTGCCCTTAGCGGGAACCGAACCTGGGTCTCTTTGGACCGCAGGCCAACGCTCTAACCGCTGAGCCAAACCGGCCAGGGCGAAAATCGTGATTTTTAATGACTACTCATTGTGTTGAAGTCTGTAAGGTCAGTGGAATGATGTGAAATGGGTCCATTGCTGCACAGAAGGACAACATTGTTTCCTTCTTTTTAAAGAGCTTTTTAACGGTGATATGTTCATCTGACGATCCTAAATTCCTTTCTGTATTCTAACACTGGCTTTCTCTCTTATGTATTCTTGGGAGTCGGATTTTGCATCTCCCTCCCACCATGTTAATTCAGGTTTCCTTTTTTCCAGCCCCATCCTTCTTATTCATCCTTTACCGAAATTCCAAAGGCAAGCCTGGAGATGGGAACTCGCTCGCAGTTTGCTCACCATTGACTACAGTAAAGTCCAAACTCTGGTGCCAGCCAGTCTGTGCTCAACCTGTGATTCTGGCTTCATGTATGCTTTGCACTCACATTCCCTAGCAGGGGAGAAGCCTCATAGGTTTCAGGCAGGTAAATAAAGAAGCAACCCTTTCTCTTCCCTCTTATTCTCCAAACTCCACCTCAAAGGATGGATGAGAAATTGGGAGAATGAATTTATTACGTGGCTTGGTGTGACCCAGCCCCTCCTTATGGCCTCTCTCCCTATTTTGAGTTAGGAGAGACACTTTCTCAGGATCCCCACCCATCTCTTCCATTTGCACCCTTAACCCTTATCCTTTGTAGAGAAGGTCCCATTGTAGATGTACATCCAAGCTAGGTCTTCCAATCAACTTTATCAGCAATAAATCTGGGTTTTACTTTTCTATCTGACTTGTGTCTAATTTCCCAGTTGATTCTGACTCAGAAAAAAAGAGTGGTATGATTTATTATCACCATTAATCCACCCTAACTATCTCCAACCCCTCTCTGCCATGTGTACGATGATTCAAGTCTCCATATCACCTACCAGTCCCCAAATTTGCAGTGCTCCCCCCCATGACCTTTTATATTTCCTTTGTGATTACCTTTGCTCAGAATGTCCTCTTGATTTTTCTCTGCTGCTAAACCTCTACTTCTCATCAAGATGACCAGCAATGCATTTCTAAAACCATATCCTAAAACATA